TGAATAGGTTTTGTTGGCAGCCTGCGCCCCCCTCCCATCCCGACGGAACGGAAGCTGTTCTTTTACCTGACGGCAGGAGCAGACGCGCGGCTCCGTCGGCGCCTGAGCTACTGATTGCTAACGCGTCTCCTACAAGAGGAGGAAAAGGAACAGTCTTAACACGGGACACTCTCATGATCGGCTTTTTAAGTTGTGCACTTTGTTAAAAAAAAAACAGTTAAATACATTTTAAATGTTATTTAATGTCTTTTCCAGTAAAAGCCAAAATAAATAAGTAGATGACTGTTGTGTGTGCAAGTCTGGGGGAGAGGGAGAGGAGGGCGCTGAATTCCCCCGTGCACAGTTTCAGGGGAAGGCAAAGCCATTTCTCTGACGTCCGTTGAAGCTGCAGGGTGAGGGAGGGCTCACGGGGCCCCAGCAGACGGTGACGGGTGGCGTGCTCGTCCCTGCCGTGTCCTGAGCCTGGCAGAGGCACCCGTGCCTTGCTCTGCTCCAGCCTCACCTCTGCCCGTACGTACTGCTCAGCAGTACACGTATCTGTGCAGGAAACTGGTGCCAAAGAACTGCTTACAGCAGCCCTGCACACCGCTGGCCTGGGCCTTCTCAGCAGCTCTCTACCCTTCCCCTGCCAGAAAACCGAGCGCGGTGCAGGAAACGCCCCGGCGAGGGGTGCTCGCAGGCGCCCTTTCGCCTTCTGCCGATCGTCGTCTGCACGACCGCACTAACGCTGCAAGGAAAGAGATTCCGAACAAACACCCGCCTGGAAACCCTGAAGGCACACCAGGGGAAATGGCTTACACGGCAATCAACCCAGTCCTTGAAGTAAAGTTTTTAGTACCACGGCTCATTTAAAAAATTAAACTCCTTTATTTGACAAATTAGAAAAAATCGAGGCTAGCACAAAGTAGCGATCATGCGAGTTCCATCTCCCCAGCTTAACCCACGGTCAGAGGCCACAACCTCGCGCTCATTACTCCCAATTAGCTCAGCTGTGATTAAAAAGCTGGACTTAAACCCGGCACCAGGAGCAGGTCTGGCGCTTCGCTCCGACACGTGCTTCCCACGGGAAGGGACGGGACAGCTCGGCTGGACGGGAGGTGGCTGATGGTGCCTGCAGGGCTGGACACCACAGCACCCGCTGGCGGGGCACACC